TTTTGCAAGCCCTAAAACACTGACTGCAAGCAATTTCTGAGTCTGTTTTGCCTCTGTCCATGACAAGAATCAACGTGTTCCAAGATTCCACAAAATAGGTTTCTTTTATGTTAAAACTATTTCTGGGAAAGCTAAAAGCTAGAATTTTTTACATATGTGGACCAAAGCTATGGTTGGACCTTTAAGTCCATTAACAGAATAAAGACATTTTAAAAGAATTCTCCCTGCTGCAGTTTATTAGGAGAAAGCCACTCTGACTTGCCAAAAAATTTTAAAAGTAAACCTTGTTTTCCTATACAATTCCTTTACTTAAAAGTTCAAGGTTTTGTTATTTGAAGAAAAATATTTAAGTGGAGCATTTAATCCAAATTAAGTGGAAGTTATGAAAATTACTTAAGGAGACAATAGTCATGACCTTTTTTGCTATAGGGCATGTAGGCTCATAGGAGAGACAGACAGACAGAAAGTGAGAAATCAGTCCTCAGGGTGTCATGGCCAGGGGTCATGGCCATGCCACAATCCCTTTTCCTCCATTCTCTGCTTGGGATCTTGAGCATGCACGCACATGCACCCAGCATTGAGTTTTCAAACATTCTACTAAATATGATTTCTAAAGGCAGCTACCTTTAAATTCTATCATTTAAGTATTTTCTACTTTTGGGATTTTAAACTGTTTCCATATTTTGCTTTTATGCCAGGATGAAAATTCTCCTGCATAATTATGTTTGCATCATAGGTTAGTCAGGATAAATCTCTAAAGTTAATTTACTAGTTCAAGTAATAAGAATATTTGTATACTTATACATATTAACAAATTGCTTTTCACAAAGTTTATGGATTTTATTTTTCTATCATCATTTGAGAATGCCAGTTTACTACATATTCAAAAATATTGAACATTTTCTTTTTTAAAAAGTCATCGATTTTTTTAAATATTAAAAGTAACAGCTCAGGCCAGCAAGTGGCCTGGTGGTTAAGTTGCTGGACTACCACATGGCTGACATGGTTCAAGTCCCGAACCTGGTGGCTTGAAACTCGCACCAATGTATAGGGACATGCCCAGGATTCCAGGAGGACAATGGAGAAGAAGGGGTTGGGCGTGGCCACCCCTCTGGGGAGCGATTTCTCATTTTCCCTCTCATTGTCTCTCTCCTCTATGCCCAGCACACATACCCTACAGCAAAAACCTTAAAATAAAACAAAAACAAAAACAAAGCTCATTGCTTCAATTCGTATGTTTATTAGTGAGGTTGATTTTTTTTTTAATGTTTACTATTTATTATTCTGCCTTTTCAAATTGTTCAGTTTTCTCCATTTTTCCACTATAGGACTTGTCTTCTTCATGTTAAACTACAATTCAATATAAAAGCATATAACCCTTCCCTGACCTCAAGAAATTTTTGATTTTTATATTGTCCAACCAATTAACCTTTCCCTTTATGATATTCCCACTACTTAGAAAATTCTTCCCCATTTCAGCATAACAATTGGCATACTTTCTTTTAGTTCTTTTGTTTCATTTTGACATCTCTATTTTTAAAACACCTGGAATTCATTTTCGGTATGTTATAAGGATGATGATTTAGTATCTGGTAACATAAAAGCCCATTAATCATTATTTCCAAAGTTTCCCTGCCTATTTTTCCAGACAAACTTTTTAAATCACTTGGAGAGGTTCCCCATCCACCCCATCCCCAAAAACGTCTTATTTAGATTCTTACTGAAATTGTATCACAACTATAAATGAAAGTCAGGAAGAATGTAGAGAAGGGCCTTATCCTATGTATCTCGTGTATAAAGAGATTTCTTTTTTTTTTTAAGTTTTTTGTTTGTCTGTTTTTTGGATTTTGTTGCATTTGTTTTGTTTTGCTTTTGCCATAGGGGCATGTGCACTTCCAGGAGGGAGACAGAGAGAAAGAGAGACAGAGAGACAGAAAGTGAGAAATCACCCCCCATAGGGAATGGCCACGCCCCCATTCCTTCTCCTCCGTCTCCTCTTGCGATTTTGGGTATAAATGCACACACACACCCGAGTGTGAGTTTCAAACCACTGGATCTGGAATTCGAACCATAGCTGGCCATATGGGAGTCCAGCGCCTTAACCACTAAGCCACTTGCTGGCCCCTAAAGAGGTTTCTTAATAGTGATTAATTCTTTCATTACTGGCATAAGTCTACTTATCACACTGTATTATTCTGAATATTCTGATTTTGAGTTATTGGGGATGGAGTGGATGGGGAACCTCTCTAGTTGAAATTTCTTGCATAACTATTAAAATTTCAGTGGTTACTACTTCAAAACGGATGTTCAATTTCTTCATTTCACTTATATTTTTTCTGAATATAATTCATTTGGCTATATCCAAACTTGAGTTCTAATTTTTAAAACCCAGTATGCATTTACTGTTTCTACGCCATTTTCCCCTAATATTTCATATTTAAATTTTCAGTTTCCTTTGTTTAAGCATCTTAATATCTGTGTCTCTATTTCTTATCTTCCCAGGGCCCATTAAAAAAAAAATCAACTATTTGATTTACCAAATCTTTTTTTCTGTGACCCAATTTATTTTCATTTCTATTAAAATGTTGTTATACTGTGCAATCGTACAAAAGGTCTAATTTCATACTGTGAACCTATTTGGGCTAAGAAATTACAGACAGGCTGAGTATTCTTTATGCAAAATGCTTGGGACTAGAAGCGTTTCCGATTTTTCAGATCTTGGAGTATCTGCGTATATATGAGAGATCTTGGGAATGGGAACTAAGTCAACGCTGACATTAATTTATGCTTTACGTAAACCTTAATGTACAGCCTGAAGGTCACTTTATACAGTTTTTTTGTTTTGCAGCATTTGGACAAAAACCCAGCATAGGAGGTCAGTGGTGGAAAATTCCACTGTGATGTCATGCTGATACAAAGTTTCAGATTTTACAGCATTTTAAGATTTCACAGTTTTAGATTTGAGATGTTCAACCTGTACCTTTTAATCACTTTTTAAAATGCGTACTTTTTTATTTCTTCTAGGAGGGGGGAGCCCTAAGTAGGGTCTTCATTCCTCAGTCCACCCCCAATCAGCCAGGATGATCAGCGGCAGACAAGTGCCTGGTGTGCACAGGGGGACCTCAGGCTGCGAACCCAGGACCTTCCTCGGTGGCCTCGGCATCTCAGAGCACGGGATTGCGTCTGTGTCACCAGAACTGGCCCCTTCTACTCAGTCATTTAATCAGAAAAGTCATTCTAATCTCACCACAATCCTCTGGAACTTTTAGAACGTACTTTTTAAGTTGTGTTAATGTTTCAGAAAACACCCTACTAACTAGAATTGGTCTTAGAAAATTACAAACTACTGTGATTATATACATTTTTCCAAAAGATACTGCTCCGGCATTTCATAGTATTCATTCTCAGCACTACATGAGCCCAACACTTAAAATAAATTCAGTATATTAAAGGAAAAAAACTAGAATGAAGAAACACATTTTATATTGGAAACTATAATATATATATATACATTTTAAATTTTGCATTGGGGTGAGTATTCTCACTGGAGAGAGAGAAAGTGAGATAGCAACTGCAGGCAAGCGGAAGGCCATGTAGCAATACCTTCTCCTCCATTCTCCTCTTGGGGTTTTGGGCACACACACTGGATCTATAACTTTTAATACAATGTAAGTATAAACAATCTAGCTTTATAGAAACTGGGGGAAAATACCCTTCAGAAGTCACAGGTTTCTTTTTGGGAAAGATAACCTGACAGTGGCAAAATTCAGTATTTATAAAATTGCTATTTATAAGCCCTTGCAGTCTGTCCAATTTTGTTTAGCCCACTAGATTCCCTGATAGAAAATTACCATAATTGGACTTGCATTTTCCTCTGCAGTTGCTGTCCATTTTTCAGAAATGCTGACTAATTACTTTCATCATTCCCTGCAAAACTTACATAAACTTTCCGATAAAAGCACTTTCTTTTGAAATATTTTTTCCATGTTATACATAAGTAGAGAAGACTTTCCTAAACATTTTGCATACCTATAATTTTGACTCCTAGGATACCTAAGCACATAATGATTTAATTAATTAACAGCTGGCTTGTTTGTGGTTTTGGTTTTGGTTTTGTTTTTTTGCTATAGAGCACATGGGCCCGCTGGAAAGAGACAGACAGGGAAAGGAACTCTCACCCCCAGGGAGGACGGCCATGCCACAATCCCCTCTCCTCTCAGGATTTCGGGCACACATGCACATGCGCCCACCATGATTTTCAAGCTACCCCATCTGGGACTCAAACTGCAAAGTTGGCCACATGGAGCCCAGCCGTCTTAACTTCCATGCTTCCTGCTGGCCCCAGTTGTTCTTACTCTTAAATAGACAACATCTCATACTTAATGCAGAATGCCACCTCCACTTACATGTTTCCCCAGAAATTTAGGTTTTTCCCTTTTTTAAAAAAAAAAAGAAGAGAGATTTATACAATAGGGCGCATGCACTCACCAGAGACAGAGAGA